TGGCCAAAGTGACCTCACACAGAAAATGTTCTATTTTTGAACCTGTTTGATGCTTGTTACTTTGGCTGCTGGTTCCGTTGTTGTTTATCCTGTCCTACCTTGAGAACGTGACGTTAGTTACTTGGATTGACCAAAATTAACATGGCGGCTGTCTTCTTATTCTCTTTGTACTTTTTCAGGGGTCTCCGTGTTTTACCCATATTCTGTATTACGGTTAACAGATTTAATGTTATGATAAGGATTATGGTCATTAGATGGTACTTTCGTGTTGTTTTAACAGTTGTTCGTGTTAATAGTTTAGCCTATTAACACGAATAACTGTTAAAAAGAAGAATAAGAAGACAGCCGCATGTGTTTAAAATCTAATTGAATTTTAGCTTGGATTACGTTGGAATTTTTTTACATGGACATATTTTCTTGTATTTATAGAATTTGAGTTTAGAATACGATTCTTTTCACATGTTGTTTTCTAGTTTTTTTCCTGAACTTAAAATCAATGAAATATAAAGAATCAGTTGTTCCAAAAGGGTTAGTGTGTTACATACAGACCCTTAAAAAAGGACCAGGTGTTCCAAATGGATAAGTTTCCAACACAGAGACCTTTCAAAAATGACCAGATGGTCCAAAAGGGTAAGTTTCTCACACAGAGACCTTTCAAAAATGACCAGATGATCCAAAATGGTAAGTGTCTTCTGCTTCAGGAACACGACATGTGTGTATTTCGCGATTATGGTGCGACTATTAAACTTCCCTTAGCATGCTAGGACATACGACAACACATTTGAATGAATCAAGAACCAACGTTAACTATTATTGGCAATTCTAAATATTACAAATTTTTACGTGAAAGATATATAAGATAATTGATAAGAAATCAAGGTCAGTTAATATCTGGACATTTCTTCGCTTTTTATCTATTTAATCATTGCTATATGTTCAGGACAGAATCAACTATACACCCAATGTTTCATGACATCTCGGATATTTCAGATCGCGATCGCATATATTTCACGAAACGACAAAATGTCATGACACATCTACAGTAACAAATTCGTTTGTAATATGGCCTACGAAAAGTGCGATTGGCGAGGTTTTGTCAGCCAAATTTATTTCAAAACGGATTAATTATAAGAGTAACGGCGTTTGTATTTTGTATCAATTGAAAACTCAAAATCTGAAAAGTATTTAAGCTTAGGTGTATCAAGATATCTCTAGAACAGAATCTAAGTGTTGTAGCTTTACGTTTGGAGCTCTTATTTCCAGACCATCTCCAGCAACTGATGCTGTCAGTAACCAGCCTAGAGAGATACAGTGCAAACAAACTTCAGAGAACGTGTTAAAACTCTGATAATGAAAATGTCAGTTTTGAGATGTTCATTTATGTAACGTCTGGAATCACATGTGGAGTGCAGCGTGAACATGCACATAACGACAGAGACGAATGTTTTAACAATTCAACACAGCATGATATTATCCAGGTCTGGATACTGTGTTTCATCATCACTTCTGTTACAAAGACCAAATGGTATTTCACAAGATTCCCCTCGATATCCCGAGAAGTGACATGCATTTGCCCTCTGTCCCTATGATTCTATCGAACCCGAGTGACCTAGTACAGTTTACTAACACGTCTATTTTATATCACGAGAATTAGTGATATGAATATGTATATCTTTCTCTACTGTCCTTCTACGTCCATAAATAGCGCGCGAATCTGAATTAAGTAAGACATATAGATCAACGATGAAATGCTGATAGTTCTGTTTCGGCCACGATAAGGCTAAATATTCAGAGAAAGGAACATTATGCCAGTGTCCAGTTGATCGAGCTCCTTCAGGAGTGGGATTGACAGGAAGTTATGATCGACTGATAAGGGATTCAGTTTTTAGTGTTGTATCTAAATCGCCTTAATGGTGAAGAACCAGATACATAGGTAATAAAGTATAGATACGAAAATGTCTCGTGGATTTAATTGGCGTTCAAATAATTGCCACGTGCAATTTACATTCATATGATACGCTATTTAACAGGACCAAGCAGAGTAATGTAAGTTAGAAAAGAATGGTAGGATGGATAATGTAACGACACCACCATGGTATTATAGAAAATGTTTCCCTGCACGATGTTTTGAGGTTGGTCGTGTTTGATTGGTAGTACGCTAAGTTGTAACGTTTCTATTACCCATGATTCACTTTGGAACTGAGGGAGATTTGTGTCGGCTAATAAGGAGAAAATTTTTACCTTTCCGGAACGTCTGGTATAACTGATCGTTTTGCGTTTTCATGAATCTTCGTGTACATCTTTTGTTGTTGTGACATTTTTACAACAATTTTAAATTGAATTGCATCAAAACACAGTAAACAGACAGAATTTTATAAGTCTAAAGCTCTGTTCATAAGAAATAGCGTTAACTAACAGTTGAAAACGCGGTTTAAAAAGGAACACGTTAGGAAAAGCATCTTTAAATATATATTTAGAGTAACATGTAGATACAGTAGAGCAAGAACTGGATCATACTGCAATATATGTCAGAGATAATTTGTGAAACATATCGTAAACAGAAAGGAGTAGTCAAATAGCATGGTACATATTGATGTAGATAAAGAAAGTTTTAAATCAACTTTGTAAGAGGTGTAATGATGGTGTTTATTTGTACGTAAAAAATGGAGAGTCAGAGAGGATAAATGTATACTTTTTATCAATCAATACCTCAACAATACTAGCGTTTTGATATTGATAACAAAGATACGACAGTCCAGGATACAAGGACAGCCGTAGTGGCATGTATACCAATTCTACACATGTACGGCCTCGTGATTACTTTTCCAGATTTATAATAGGCTTACCATATACTGAACATTTCATGTTGGAATAAATTACAGAGGCGCTGTGTAGGCTTTATAAATAAAATACAATTCGAGTCTCCGTGTCAGTAATCGTCAATGCTATTTTTGTAATATCATACAATACGTTTTCTTACGTATTAAAGATGCCAATTTTTGTCCAATTAAGGTACAAGAGTATTCACAGGCATATCATTATTGGAAAATAGCAGTCCTTCCTATGACACAAGGATCTTCAAATTGATATACATGCTTTTTATATCCTTTTTTATGTCACATATTTTGAACTATGTTCAGTTCATTTTGCTCGTATATTTGGAAACATGGTTTGTACTGATATTGGAGTATAGAGCGTTTAACTCTGATAAATTTCATTGAATATGGCATTATTTTCGTTTACACTGGTATTGTAGGTGTATCTATGACGTCATATACAGTAAATAATGTTTTGGCTAATTAAGCGACCCCAGCAGAATCTCAGAAATTAAATGAGTAAAATTTGAACATTTGTAAATTCGTCGCACAAGTGATACATATCACGTTTTCCTCCAGAGTCATCATGTTTCAGTAACGTGGAACTACGTTTAGTTATGATATTATAATAACGGATATGTATGTTATAACTTTTATTGACAATAAAGATAATATATTTACAAATATGTTTTTATTAGGTTTTTCTTTAGAATTATAACGATATGATTAAAGTCGCTCGTTTGAGAATGTGAATTATTTACCCAGACTGTCTATTATTTAGGTGGAAGGTGTCGTTGTCTGAGAGGAAGACCCTTCCAGAACACTTGGTCTAATATCCTTGTAGTTGGCAGTAACCGTACACTGAAATGTGGTATTAAATGTGTGTACAATCCTTCAACACTTAGAGACCCGCTTTATAGTTACATCTTTAAAATCATATTTTGGGTATCAAACAGGTCTCTATAAAATGGAAATATAATTTGGAATTGAATTTCTAATGGTCTTTTCCGTCTAATGTTTCAGTTGAAAGGAAATGTTCTGTTACCATACAATAGTGGACACACGAGTATAGAATTGTAATTTATGATAACTTAAGAAAGAGATATTTGGATAACATATTGATTTAGTATGGGTATCAGTCTTGAATAATTTGGAATAGGAACCATAATGACACCGATATCAAGCCTCCAGACTATCAAATTGTGATAAACCAAGTCCCTAGGCGATCAAGTTGTGACAATCCTACAAATAGTTACTCGTATCACGATCCGTGGAAACATCACCCTGAGACGGCTCCGGCTCAGACTGTCGTTGCAAGCTGTTAATCAAGTAACGAAAATAGACGGATAATGACATTTCCTAATTGCGCTGATTGCTACTACGGAAATTCACAGAGAGTAATGTTGATGCCGTAATATGAAAGGAGTATGACTGTTCGTTAATCAAGGTGTAAATATAGCTAAATACAAGTCCTTAACTTTTTCACAAGTATGTAAGTAAAATAATACTGATGACTGAATACATACTTTTCAATAGTAAATGATAGATAGATATTGATGTTGTCAAGCTATATCAAGTGAGAAGTTTCGGTAGAAAGCTATTGATGTCATCACACGATGTAGATTCTAGGTGTTTCTGTACAAACTATGAGCTATGAGTACGGTGTGGATATAAAGGCTTGTAAACTCATCAGGTGAGACTGATGGATATTTGTTTAGATATGAATATAATGTTTCAGTTGTTAATAGTAATTTACGTGGACAGATGATATATCAAGAATACTTTAAATGTTTCCTTTGGGTGACAAAAATAGAAACACAAGGTGTAATTTCAAGTTTTACTCTCATTAACTTAAGATAGACTGCCTAATTCGTCAAAAGGTGACAATACAATTGAATCAGTCTCGAAAATGATTGTAGTGTGTACAAGTTGACATGGAGAGATGGAGTGTTGTTTAATTCCATTCATATCAAATCCTAGAATGGTCTTATTTTGGAAAATGCTAAATATTTTTTGAAGTTGTGTCTTTGGCTAAAATATTACATGAGGTACACTGAAAGCAAGTTAAATATTATATGTTTCCTCCCTATGTTCCTGGTTATAACTGTATATATAACATGCGTGTATTTATTTCTTAACTGCGTTTCTTAATCATAATTCTAACGGGAATTGTTTTCGTTACAGGTGCGTTCCTAATACCGTACATCATCATGCTTGTGTTCCTTGGGATTCCGCTGTTCTATATGGAACTGGCGCTCGGTCAATACCAGAAATGTGGCGCAATCAACGTGTGGCAGAGAATTTGTCCCATGTTTACAGGTTAGTATATCTTGAATGGTTTTCAGTATAATTACATGTTAGACATATATAACAATTGTCCTGTGACACAACTCTAAAATTGTACAAAAGACAAAAAGCGAATAGCGCCATCTAATACAAATTAAAAGTTAGAAACAGTAGAGTCAAAAATTAATTATAAACTGCATCATGCAGCTTTTTCGTCCTCTTAGGATTCATCAGTGCTTTTAAGGTTGTAAGGTTGAAGCCTAGGAGGCACTAATCGAAGGAAAATCCAAGCGATCGAAAGAAGAGTCAAAATCTAGATTTGGAGGTGCACTAGTCCTATATTTCAATAAATTCGTTTATTTTCAAACATGAGATACTTTTAGAACAATTTAAAGTGCGTCTACATGTTCTGAACCGTTCCACTATTTGAATGAATTAAAACAGAGCATGCAGGCTACGGCAAACCTCGGGAGCTAAAAGTCCGCAAGCAGTGTCTACCACCTGCAAATTAGAAGTGAGCAAAATATAACAAATGTTCTTTCCTGAGACTACAAATGTTAAAAAATAGATGTTATGTTGCTCGATTAAAAACGACTTAAATGTTAAACGTGAATCAAACGTGACCTACGCGAGGACTACGATGCTTTGCACAGCTTTTGAGTTGGTTTGGTAGCCTATCAAATTATCTATTTTATATTGTACAGTTTTCCCGTATAAGATGTCTACAAAATCTGATAGAGCAATTAATATCAATTACTATCTAAAGTGATGCTGACGTCACCAAATGGCCGTGTTTGTGATCTACAGCTGACACAGTGACCGTTTGTACATTTTGATAGCTTACGTCAACGGTCACCAAGACGATATGACTAAAGCAAGCCAAATGTTGATAACATCTGTAGAAAAAAAGAATTTATTTTCTTATTTTGAATTCTTTGGACTGCGTTTAAAATTTCAAAGCTATCAAATCACGATCTAAGTCTTTACACACAGTTGTTAAGACTATAAATGTAAAGAGTTTATGAGAATTTCGTTCGTGATTCTATTACTCACGACATTCTTATAAACACCGTACATTGACCAACCATAGGTAAGATCTTAACAAACCCTGTATCAGAAATTGATAAGGATTTTAATAGATTATATAGAGGTTTAATGGGAGTGATACTGATCTTATAAGGATAATTTCTCTTTCCTTGTGCGATATGAAGGTAGACGTTTGATGCTCGTTAGTACGCCGGGTGGTTCTGTTGATGTTTAAGGCAATCTCATTCGGGAAGTGATATTTACCTACTTGGATTGACCAAGATTTACATAGCGGGTTTCACCAAAGAAGCAGAGGACGCTTATCCTTCCGAAACACGTTGTCTTATTCTCTTTGCACTATTACGGAGGCTTTAGTTTAGATCCTTTCTTTTTCATTCATATTGTACCCTACTTAAAAATAAATAAATAAATTTGCATCAATATTCTGTTGACACCTCGGGATTTTCTTTGTAGTTTTATCATTTTTTATCTTCTCGGGACCTGATACCATTTAATGGATTCTTTTTTTTTAATCTAGATTTCACCAAATTTTCGATTCCGAGAAAATAAAATGTATCTCTGAATAATAATATCTATGTTTATCTGTTGATATTATTGGGATAATTTTGCAATACGTTCTCAACATATATTAGCATTTATATAGCAATATACTCATTTTTTCAGTTCATGGTTTTAGCTTAAAAATGTCATCAATTAAAACTTGCGACAAGTATATCGTACAAAAATATTTGAGTTTACTGCAAAATGATTACGTTACTTTGTAATGTTATTGTGTTATTTTGTAATAACAACACGACGTTAAACAAGATGTTTCCTTTCTTTTTAATAGCAATGGTTTTATATTCATTGACAAGATGATCCAAACAGAATATTTTCAAAAGTCAAATGACTAGAGGCCCATCAAATGTATGTTTTCTAATTTTAGGTAATTTAAGAGATTATTAATACATATAAACTTACAATATAATAATCAATAACTAGAATATGATATAATTATTTAAAGGTGTTTTAATACATACCTTGTGATATCTAACAGGTTTTGATACCTACCTTGTGATATCTAACAGGTTTAAATACCTACCTTGTGATATCTAACAGGTTTAAATACCTACCTTGGGATATCTACATTGTGATATCTAACAGGTTTTAATACCTACCTTGTGATATCTAACAGGTTTTAATTCCTACCTTGTGATGTCTAACAGGTTTTAATACCTACCTTGTGATATCTAACGGGTTTTAATACCTACCTTGTGATATCTAACGGGTTTTAATACCTACCTTGTGATATCTAACAGGTTTTAATTCCTATACCTACCTTGTGATATCTAACGGGTTTTAATACCTACCTTGTGATATCTAACGGGTTTTAATACCTACCTTGTGATATCTAACGGGTTTTAATACCTACCTTGTGATATCTAACAGGTTTTAATACCTACCTTGTGTTATCTAACGGGTTTTAATACCTACCTTGTGATATAATAAATTAATGGGTTTAATACCTACCTTGTGTTATCTAACGGGTTTTAATACCTACCTTGTAATATAATATTTAAACAGATTTTCAATACCTTAATTGTGATTATTTTATATCAAATTCCTACATTAACATCAGCAACTATCTTCCATCAACTCGTATAACCAAAGAAGTAACTTTTCATTTCAATTATCACTAAGAAAGATAAATACATTTTCAGATTTCGCAATATTAACTTGCGTCATATGGAAATATTTGAAAATTTCAGCACTTTCCCTCTCCCTTGTGTGTTTATTATAGTATATTGTAGCTATTATTCAAGCCATGTATGAACCCAAAGGCATTACCTAATGGTTGTATATTGTGATTGCATGCAATCATATTACGTCAAGTGTCCACACGCCGTGACACGCAATAGAGTTCTTACATAATATGTTTACAAAGTTTTCAAAATTTCGTTTAAATGTTATTTGCAAACAAAAGAGAAATTGAGTGGACAAAAGGTATTACAACATACTTACGTCTTACACTATAGATTTATTTGTACATATTTGTATATACGAAAGAATTCCGAGTTAAAGGTGAGGTTACAGCAAAATAGAAAAGAATAGGACAAAGTATATCAAAAGATTCTTCAGATTTGTGTTAGAATAATTAAATGGAGATCACATGTTTAAGTTTCTTAATCTTGTTAGTATAAGTATAAAATTATTCTCTACTTTGGTTTTAGAGTGGTAGTGTGTATGTATGTTTAAGTGAAAATAACAAAATTAGGTATTTTCATTCAACTTTGACAATTTTGATTACAGTATCTCTATTAAAGGTATCACTGTGTCTCCTAGAGTACATTATGTTACCCTTCAGGAACGACAACTCTGATAGAAATTGTTTCTGTATGACATTCTCTTCAATCTGAATAACATTGTACATTAAATTTTAGTTACATGTGTAATCTTTTTCTACTTTGATATAATTTATATGAAGATTTATATCTTGTGAAACTACTGGATATTATCCATCAGAGTAATGGCAATGTAATACCATATAGACAGAGCATCTGTGAAAAATATCATTTTTCTATATATATATTCAATTTTTACAAGCCATTGTAGATAATAATACTAGAACTTGGATACCATGGCAGGAGGTACCTCAAAGCCACGTATGTGTAGGGACGTATTTTGACCTTGAATGTTATCGTCAATATATATATATATATTAATGTATATATCAACATGTCAATATAATCATATTCCAACCTCAAAGTCAATAAAACTAGGGTAAAATATGAACAAAGCATGAGACTATGAGAATAAGACCAGGTGTTCCAGAAGAAAAAGCGTCTTCTGCTTCATCGACGACACCCGCCATGTAAATCTAAATGTCAATATAAGTAAGCAATGCCACGTTCTCAACTGAGAACAAGATATACAACATGGGAACCAACAGGCAAACTAACGGGCATCAAACACGTCCAGCTTTATATAGCACCACAAAGAAATGAAATATTCAACAATGAGATCACAGTAAAGCAGTTTGTCTGGAAGAAATGACACTTTTACACTATATACTTTTATACTTAAAACAAAAGTACATACAACATTGAACGGCAAATCAACAAATGTTCTTTTCAAGAAAATGTGTTAGGAATTTATAAAATGTTACATAATTAACACAGGAGTAGACTTTTGATTCTGAAGTACGACAAAGATTCTGTACAGTTGTTGTAGCTGATGCTGGTAACTAATTCACTTCAACTTCCTGCAATGATGGGTTATTTATGGTTTGTTTATCTTCTTATATAAAACAAATAATAACAATTCGATAGTGTTTTATCCTGCTTAACGAAATTCAAACTCAAAAGCGATGAATAGTGTGATTCTTGTTTCACTTTCCGCATGTTTGTTAATGAGTTATTTTTCTAATATTAAATTTATGGGTTTGATACCGTACTACATATGTATGTATATAACTTATAAAGTCTTCGTCACATGGTCTGAAATTTCTGTTTGAAGGTTGACAGGCATATCGAAATTAATTCAATATTTCTTTTCACGTGTGCTCTATCCTTTTCTCTAATTTTTATTTTTTTCATTATATACTTGATTAGGTCGGAGAACGTGCATAACATGTATAATGCTTTGTCTGAAATTTACATCGGAATGTAAATGTTATTGTTCATTAATTTAATTTCCATCTCCTCGAAGTCTACTCTTGTGTACGTTGTATTCATATATAATACTTTTTATGAAATAATGCGATATGTCATGATTTTATTGGTATTAATGTATTTGTTGTATGTGATGCATACAGCTCCAAAGGAAAAAATATATTTATACTGTCTGTGAAGGAATGAAGCAATGTTTACATTATGCTAACCATACTTTATTATTCTGTAAAGTTAACTTAGAATCATTTTATTTTTCCAAGTACACGGGAATGCATCATGATTCTCAAACATACACACAATATTCATCTATGTACGTGTGTGTGTTGTAAAATTCTA